AGCCATGCTACTGATGCGGACAGTTTTCGAGATGGCACAATAAACAGGCAAACACACCATTTAATGTAAATAACAGGCCAAATAATGGATCAACGCTCTCTGTCTAATATGTTCGCTAGCTGTTAGTGTTGTTGCAGTAGCAACCCACCTTGCACTAGTTTCGTGCAGAAAGGCCACGTGAGGGTACTATTTTATTTGAACATCTTATTGTACTAATAAAAACCTTAATTTAAATATTAGAGTGTGTATTTTCTTATTTCTTTCAGTATTGTAACCGTTTATAAAAGCAAAAGGCTCACTTCAGGCCGTGATATATGAGCAGATACACGGGCCTGTCGTCCCGAGCATTGCTTGTAATTATATAACACAATGGATTTAAAGATGGGATATCTGGGCCTCCTTTTGCTTCATCGGATGTTTGGAAAAAAATTGACATCTCACTAACAATAGACCCCTTATCTATCCCTTTACGAATGTGAAGCACAACATTTTTACTGTGAGGATTGTGGAATATTGAGTTTGAAACTTTATCCGTCTGTTACAATACAAGTGTCATGTTGAAAAGTTATTCCCGACCTTGTACAGAACAAGAGGAGTCGTATGAAAAGACAATACGCCATGTGGCTTAATTGGCCATCAAGACATTACAGAGAGCCGTCATATGTAGCATAAAGAGAAAAGTAGACAGAGCGAAGGGACAGTCTGTGATTGTCATAAGTTACAAGTGTGACCGTATACACAGACAGGGGAACAAGGTGGAAGGGTCAAATTAGAGACGGGATAAAGGACAGTGACACGGATGGGAGAGGGTTAGGGAGGAGAAGATTGAGGAGGAGAGCATGAAGTCCTGTTTGAAGGCCGGTGTTGTAGCTGACACACACCCACTGAAAACGTGGCGTCTCTATACACACACACACCCGCGAGCGACAAGCTCCACCTCGAGATCATGTATATGGATGACCGCTGAGAGAATAAACCGAGAGACATGAATAAGATACTGAACCACAAGGCTGTTGTATCCCCACGGCTTTTGTTTACACCAAACGTAGCTTAGTGGGTTCCTTCGTCGAGCAAATGGACACCACACACACACACCGAGCACACAGGACAACACACACACACACACACAGCACACACACACACAACACACACACACACACACACACACACACACACACCACAGCACCCACACACACACACACCCACACCACACCACACACACACCACACACACACAACCACACACACCACAGCACACACACACACACACACCACACACACCTTCCCTTTCACGTATAAACACTGCAGAGAGGGAGCTGTCGTGGTCTTGTGTGGACAGGCTTGGGATAAACCTTTGAACCGTTCAAGGCGTACAGAGATAGCGATGTAAATAGAGCATCGCGCGGCTGGTGGTTGACGCAGCTAAAAGGCCTGATCACACACCGAAGCCACAATAGGCTGCC